TGCGCATCGTCCCTCAATGAGAAAGGGAAAAGCATCATCCGTATCCGATCATTAGTTAATCCAGGTATCTTGAAATTCTGGCATATCCTCAGAAAGCGGGTAATATGTGAAACTGGATCTTTTGTAGGACCTCCTCTAAACTGGTTATTGGACACCATGCTTATCACCGCCGGCTTGATCTCATAACGGTTGGCAATAATTCCTGGCACTTGAATGATATCATACTCTGAAACGTCTGACGTAAGGAACTATGCAATGGTCTGACCTTGATAGAGTGGATTATTGTGCGGGACATAAGCATTTTGTGGAGGAGCCTACTGTCTATGTTGGAAAGTTGGTTGTTGTTGAGCAGGTGGGATTTGGGGTGGATTACGGTATTGCTTTTGGGAAGGATTTTGGTACTGTGGTTGATTTTGCAATGGATTTTGAGTGACTGGGTGTGGGTTCTGTCTTGGTTGGAAGACATGAATGTTCTGTCCTGCTCCTTGCATCCCATAAGCTTGGTTCTGAAAAGTAGTTTCAGGAGAAGTGGAAGGTATTTTGAAAAAGTTGGAATAATGGAGGAAGGTTAAATTGTGGCATGGGCTGATTTTGGGGAAAGAGTGGGGTGCGATAGTTCTGGAAACCTGGAAGGCGTCTGGGTGAAACTTGTGGTGAAAACTGGGGTGATGTGTTGACATAGAAATCTTGTTGAGAAGTGATGTTAGGGATACCAGACGTCCCTGCGGTTCCAGATGAAGACTGAGGTCCATGGTTATTTTCTCTCTTTGAGCCTTGTAGTTCTGTCTGGCAAGCTTTTCAATCTCAAGATTAAGAGGGATTAATGGTTCTCCCTTCTTAGAGCGTGTATGCATAAACAGATCTGACCTGCAAGATTAGCAGACAAAAATCCTACGAAAAACTAAAAAACAGATCGCTAAGTCTAATTAACCCTTAAGACCGACATCGTCCTCGGCAACGGTGCCAAAAACTGATGAGAGTATTCTCGCACTCAAATTGATAGTAGAATAGTGGTGAAATTACGAGTATCGTCTCCACAAGGACGGTAAAAGTGAATTAAGAATGAATTATATTCAGCTATTAAGGAAAAAATAAAATAAATGCAGTCGTGCGATATTTGGTTGATTTGGACAATTAAATTGCAAATTAACGAATAAATAAAGGTTGGTTTCTCTCTAATTAACGACGAAGGGAAACAGGGATTGATTCTGGAGTAACCAGATTTCTGGCCGATCAGGCTTAATTACATGAAATTAATTTTATTGAGTCTAGCTAATTATTACTAAGTTCTTACCGCCCTCGCGGCGTAGAATACAATAATTTAGGGAACCAGGCTGATCTCTCATGCGACGGGTATCTAAAATTATTGCCAAAACGAGCGAGCGTATGTACAGTCCCATAATCGCTACTAATCTCTTAGCGAACGATTAAGTGTGTGTGAAGGTGTCTTAGAATAAACTAGATCTCTCTTAATTTATTCTACAAGCAATTGTAATTCTAGCTGCAGTTCTAGGTTACAAAAGATATCAGTTAAATCATTCAAACACAAATTAAACACATTCATGTAATTCAAACCATCAAGGAACTAGTCATACATCGTGATTAACCCCTTCATCAATCCCAAATCCCTAATTAAAACTACTCTTGACACATAATTGAATAATCAACAGAATTGGGATAAATAGAAATAATTGTCATTAATCCACGGTCTTGAGCAAAATAGCGGAAAACTGGTATAAACTCGTGCCTAGGCCTCTCTCTCTCTCTCTCTCCAAGTTTCGTAACCGTTAAATGGGAGTATAGAGGCCTTATTTAAAGAAAAAGAGTCAAAATTCGACCAGGATTAGGGTTTTCGGGGTCAGGCATGGCGCGAGGCACGACCGCGCCGGCGGAGCAAGGCCAAAATTCGCGTCCAGACACGGCGTGCCTCCCTTGCCAGACACAACCGTGCCTTGGTTCCAGGAGATCGTTGCTTTAATACACTACAGGCACGACGTGCATCCCTTGCCAGGCAGGACTGCGCCTGGGTTCCAGCGACTTTGTGTCTCGATACACTACAGGCACGGCGTGCGTCCCTTCCCAGGCACGACCGTGCCTGGCCTTTTTTCGTCGCCTGGTTATATTCTAGGCATGCACGGCATGCCTGGGTGCTGGGCACGGCCGTGTGTGGCCTTTTCTTCATCAATTCTCTCCGTTTCTTTTTCCAAATGCTCCCGAGTGCTCCCGAATCGATCCCAAAGGTCTTCTCCTCATCAATTCTTCATTGTGAACCTCCCGGAGACCTCCAAAGCTCTCGAAACTCTCTTGAATTCTCACCAACTCTTCTTGATTTCCTCTTAAGCGTCGGTGCCGGATCTAATTACCTGATTTTTGACTCCAAACAACATAAATCTTGAACCAACGTCTGGTACACATAACTTGAGCTAAAATTGAGATTTACAACACCTAAAAGTTAGGAAAACATCAAAAGTTTTTCCCAACACGCATCAAATGCGTGTTGTGATACGGACTTATCAGACGGCGATTCCCCTCAGGAGGGCTGGACAGGAACATGACTCTATATATGTATACATACATACATACATACACATACACACACATATATGTGTGTGTGTTATATATGTGTGTGTTTGTGTGTGTGTGTTTGTGTGTCTATATATATATACACATATACACAAATGCTCCTGTCCAACAGTTCGGACAGGAGCCGGAGCCGCATTGTGAACATCGCCGTTTGGGGCGGTTCCCGGTGGAATTTTTTGATGAAATAATTTGAGCATGTTAATCATGAAGTCTAGTTTATCCATAAAAACATTCAACACAAAATTCGATTAGGAAGGCAGTCAAATAATAATTTGAAGTTGACTGCGTTTTTCTATTTATAATTTGACGTAGTCAACTTCAAAATATTATTTGACTGCCTTCCCAATCGAATTTTTAGCTTAATTTTTGTGTGGATTAACTAGACTTCATGAGGAACACTTCTCTCTCTCTCTGTCTGTCTGTCTCTCTCTCCCTCCCTCCCTCTCTCTCTCTCTCTCTCTCTCTCTCTCTCTCTATATATATATATATATATATATATATATATATATATATATAGAGAGAGAGAGAGAGAGAGAGAGAGAGGAGTTCAAATAAAAAGATGTGATCTCGTACAAAGTGCGAACGATTGCAATTTTCCCCCACGCGTTGCACTATTGCTTGTTGTTGTTGTTGCACTTTTTCGTGGTGGCAAAATGTTCAATTTAATTATGAAATTGTCACCGCATTTTTTATCAAATCTAATGCATTGTTGGCTCATTTTGAACCATTAGATGTGGAAATGAATGTAAAAGATTTATTGTTACTTTGAATGGGAAAACCTTTTTGTATTTGAACTCTCCCCTATGTGTGTATTGCATATGTCAGTTTGGGATACTTATCTTACACCCCTTAAAGTTCGGGGAATTTCAAATTATTTCCCTCTAGATTAATATCAAGAGATGTTTATTAAAATATAAAAATTGCTATAGTAATTATTTTCTTCTATTAATAAACCATATACCATAATTGATATTACCTCGACATCTTTTCAAACATTTTTACTAAAAAGATCCAATTCACTCAGCTAATCGTTCAAATTCAGCAATTCAAAATTCAACTCACGAGAATAGTATTCAAGTTATAACAATTCTTAAATCACATTAAACTCCAACTCTCTCTCTACTCTCAAATTATCAATCTCTAATCCTACATTATTACATTTATATTTTCATCTTTAATACATTCATATTATTACTATATAAGTATAGTAATAATATGAATGTATTAAAGATGAAAATAGTATTCAACTTATATAGTTGTTATACTACATAATTACTTATAATCTCTAATCATACATGCCTACTCATACAATTTCACATTTAATATATTCACTTTGTAATTATATTAATATACTTATTATACTTTATGATTGAAAGCCCACCGTAGAAGACAACAAGTTAGCAAAACACCAGACCACAATTTTAAGGTTTAAACTTGTAATTACTATTCTCACTTGTAATTTATAAATGTGTTAATACTCTAAGTTAATGTAGTGTTTGAAATAGAGCTCGAATCGGCCTGAGACCAGTTCGGGATCGCAGCCCCAAAATAATCCGGGTCAATCGCAATCTTAATAATTGGGAACCGGTACCGTCGGTCCAGGATTGAAACTGGGTCCGAAACCAAACAGGATGCATCCCTATTACAATGAAAGAGATAGACCCAGAGAGTAAATTGACATTTAATGTTCCTTTTTCAGAATCGTATCTATTTTAGGATTTGTTTTCCTAGAATGTCAAGTACAACATTTAGATGTCAGCATTGTGATTAGGGGTGAACCCGGGCCGGGCCTAGGCCCGGGTGGGCTTTTTTTCGGAATGTTGGGCCCGGAACCGACCCGGGTTGATACCAGGTCCGGTTCTATGTAACTTTTTTTGGTTTTCTAATTAACCCCGGACCCCCTCCCTCACCCCACCCCCAAAACACTCAACCCTACCCAAGGAAAAGGAAAAAAGTTGAAAAAAAATGAACCAGGCGCGGCTCGAATCACCCGGGCTGGTTCATGAGAATCATGGCCCGGAACCGGCCCGCCAGAACCGCCCAAACCGGGCTAAAGCCCGGAACCGGCCATCAAGGCCCCGCACAGTAGCGATCCGGTCCGGATCCGAGCCGGTTCAGCCCGGTTGGGTCCATGCCTAATTGTGATTGACATCATTGAGAAAAAGTTATAGAAAAACAGAAAATCATGCAAAAGAAAGAGAGAAACTGCCATGAATTTATTTTTAAATATTCCGATTTCTACATATGTACCTTGAAGATGTTTTTGCCAAAACCCTTATAGGAGTGTCGATTAAGGGTATACAAGTAATCCCATGGGGTATTCCTATGGCCCCACAGTATATAGAGCACGAATTTGGGTTACAACGCGCGCGGAGTGACTGATAATTTATCCTTTGGCGAACATACTTTTTCCAAATCCCACACGAAGCAGTAAGCAGCCAGCTGAAATGAAAGATTTATGTTGTACAAAATATTGACACAAATTTAACTAACGAATATAAAGGTCACAAGAAAGGAGCTGTTGTTTCTATAGCTTACACAATTGAAGAAAAAGAAGAAGAAAGACTATCAGCTAGAGAAGGGATGACAGATACAACAATACACCATAAGAAAAAACAAAAACTCTTTCTTTCATCTTAATTAATTACCAACTGTTTGACACATACGGGAGCAACAACAAGAAAGGCTGCGGTTTTAAAGCATAACCTCCTTGCCGAAAACCCAGCTAAAAGGGACGGCAGCGGGCTTCTTCTGTTTGGCCCTTTCCTGAGCTCTCTCTTCTAGTTTCCGAATCCTCTGAGCCAACCCACACACATAATCCTGTGCTCTACATCCCTCACCTGAAAGACCGGTCATCTTTTCCACTTCCCACCTACACACCAAGAACTCCAATATGTCCGCATAGTCCTTGGCTGTATACACACCAAGACGCTGTGCGACAGCAGAGAAATGTTCAAAGAGGTTGTCGTCCCCGCCGTCATACATGAGGTGAGCTGGCATGGATATCTTTTTCTTCATCATATTGGCAAGGGACAAGATAGTGTGCTCAGGATCGATTTCAAAGAGCTTCTCTACGATCTTGGTGTATGCAGTTTCATGACGTTTCTCGTCTGCTGCGATGATGCCACATATCTGCGCTAGTTTCAAGTCTCCATGCTCCTTCGCTTGCCTGGCTGTGTTGCCATGAGAAATAAAAGTTGCCCTCTCCTGGAAGGAAGTATAGATGAACCCCAAGTAGGGGTTGTTTTCTGTGCCTGGATCCTGGAAGAAGAATTTATATATTTTAATTAGAAAATATACATAAACAAACGAAGTGTATAACTAGTATATAATTAATGACTGCAGACCCCAAGTTGCAGGCATAATACTAACACGAATAATAATAATAACCCGCACAAAATCCAAGCCTGGGTCAATAAAAATAATCCTTACAACAAGGACCTCATCCAGGCCTTCCCAAAAGATTTCGGGTCGAAGAAACTTAGAACGCACTTGGACACTCGATTCTGACTGCATATTGACCAAATAAGCAAGTCAAACCATGCAGAATATGGCTCCACTTGATAGTCTGACCCAGCTTTTGCTACCGAATGAGTAAAGCCTGTTTGACTAGCTTGTTTGGCTGAAATAGTATAGCAGAACCTGATTCGGCTTTTCATTTCCCAAATTGGATTCAACCATCTCTACCATTTCAATCAAGTGACTAAATCTTGACAAATGGGCTCTAAATAGCTTTTAACTTGCTTATTTAGCTGGAATCAATACACAAAGAATCAATTATATACAGCATTTCAATAAAACAACCCTTGCCAAAAAGGCTCTAATATAAAACATGTTTGGAAGGCAGAAAATAGTAGGAATTGAAGAGAAATGGTACGAAAATGGTTAACATGTGTTGTTTTGCTTTGAATAACACTCCAAGGAAAATCGAGTAAGATTGAATATGTATCTAAAACTGATTTGGAGTTTGAAAAAAAATCAGTTTTTTTCAACTGATTTGGAGTTTGAAAAAAATCAGTTTTTTGCCTTCCAATCCGCTTTCCCTTGATGGCTTCATTCCCTAGCATCACCCAGATTTCATCCTGGCTGTCGGTTACCGAGTATAACACAAACCTCAAAAATAATGCATTTAAGGTGTACACCACAGGTACAAATTTACAAACAGAATGATACATTTAAAGAAAATGTATAATAATTTGCAAAACTGTATTTCCAAGTCCAGCAGGTACTTTTTGATCCATGCAAATCAAGTACTTTTTGTTTCGAAGTGCAAAATTGATCCATGCGATTTGTTTCCAATTTCCTGATATCAGCATTTTCCTAATATCGAAGGAAATAATGCAACAAAAAACAATACGGATACAATGAAAAACTGAAGATTTGTAACTGGGCCAAGCATTTAATAGAAATATTTATATGCTCTAATATTTTAAAAGCTAAGAAATTCAACAAGGGATGACAAGTATAAATGCGATTGTTGATTAGGCAGATGATGGGTAGTAAAAGATCACGCCCATCTTTAAGTATCCGTGAAAATTGGCACATATTAAACAATCATTTGAAAATTGAAACTAAATATAGTACCCAAATTCTTTTTTTGTAAAAGTGAGTTTTGGTCAATTGACAAGTGGCTGAATTGTTGTGTGCAAAGTAAACATACAAAGAGCCTGTTTGGAAACACAAAGAGTGCACATGAGCAGAATAAGAGGTGTTTGGAATTGGAATTGAATCTGCTTTTGCTTCTTTAAAGTAGAATCAGAATCGGCCTTTCAGAAGTTGGTCTCTCCCAACTTCTGAAAAACTGAGTGAATAAGCATTTTGGAGCTGGGAGAGACCCCTACACAGTTTTAAGAAGTAAACTTCAAACACTTAGATGTATTCTAGAAAACTTAGCAATTTCAGCCATTTCAACCAAACAACCTTAAGGCCACTAGAGCGCTTATTGGCATTTTGATAAGAGAATCATCAATACCAAGAAAAGTCAATGTAGCCTAATGATTGATAACTATAAGGTAAATTCATTATAAAAATCTCACCATTCCAGACCCGATGAGGTACTGAATTGTTTTTTCTATTTGCCTCATGTCAACTCTTCCTGAGAGGTAGAGATACTTGTTTAGAAGGTCACCATGCCTATTTTCTTCAGCAGTCCATGCCCTTGTCCAAACTGCCCAGGGGGTAAGACTAGCACCTGTCTCATCACGAACACCGTCCAGTGTGTTGAGCATAGTTTGATAAGTCGGCAACGCTTCTTCTGTGATCATATCCCCAACCAAAACCACAAAGTAGTCATCCGGCAATTCCTTGCACCTTTCCCTTAGATCTTTGACCTGTTCGTGAAATCCTTCAATGGAAGGATCTGGAAGAAAATCATTTGGCTGCCAACACTTTTCTACAGGCTTCAAGTGGACCAAGATATTTTGTTCAGCCCAATTCTGCAAGGAATTGAAAATTTCGATCTTTTCTGGAGGGAGCGAGTGTTGGACTTGAAGGTGTACCTCCCTTGGAGGACTCCAAGGTTTCTTGGAACTCCCAGTTTCCCTAGAATCACCCCAAGTAGAGTGACAATGGAGGAGTAAGTTTATTTATGTCAGAACTAAAAATTGCAAAGCACCCAGAGAGCATATATTATTAAGACTTGGGCTCTGCCCGTTTTAAGCATAACAAGATCAAATACTAGTTTGAGCTAAATATGTTAGAAAACAATTAAAATTTGTTGTTTTGACCTAAAGTGTGAACCGTGATAGAATCAATGATATTAGATGTGTGATCGCATTACTATGTTTGGTAAACATGGGATGACTGAAAGAATAATATTGCTCGAGTATCACATCATTTCTAAAATAAATATTCTGAATCAGCATTGGCTACCTTAAGCACCGAAATCCAGCCTCGTCGAAATGCAATTAGCAAATTTTACATAGAAAAAGAGTTATCGCGTCATAACATAGAAAAAGCACGGTAGGAAGAATGAAATTGAAACAGCAATATGAACACAAACTTGGAGGTAACTAAGCGTTGAACTCATTATTTACAGATCAAAGGCAGCAATATAAGAAAATGAAACAGCAATATAAAAGCAAAACTTGTGGGTACATTGATATGAATTGAACATAAAACGTCCAGTCCATATATGGATTGAATATGAGATTTGTAATGAAGATTACAGATAAAGGCAGCGACACAAAAACTTCCAGAGTGGAATACAAAAACGGTAAACAGAGGAAATGCACAAAAATAGATCCAGGGGTGGAGAAAGTAAAAATGGAGAGGAAGAAGAGACTCACGGAGAGGTGGTGGCGGGAGGATGAAGAGTTGAAGCCATAGAAACTATGGAAGATCTTGGGCCAGGAAATGAAGGGGGAGCGCCGCTCAATCTCGTAGTTTTGATGACGGATTCCATGTTCGCGGTCGCCCAGTTCAATCTCAGAGCCATTCTCGGTTGTTCCGCCCGCCCTCTTTGCGTCAAATCTTAGATGCTTGCTTTTGAGTCTTCGGTTTATTTATGCGGTGCAGCCTGCAGGAAGAGGAAAAGGTTTATAGTGGTACAGGGAAGGGACGCGTGGGGTGAGGGAGGGCCACGTGGTGTGAGCAACAAAAATATTACTCCCTCCGTCCCTTATAACTTTGCCAAATTTCCTTTTTTGGTTGTCCCAAAAACTTTGCCACTTTCCCTTTTAATCAATCAATTTGTGGCTCCTGTTATTTCTCTCTCCTCTGCATAAATCTCTACCACACAGTTTTTACTTTATTATTCTACGTGTCGGTCAAATGTGGCAATCCTTTTAGGGACGGAGGGAGTACCATCTAATTTAAATACTCAAATCTTTATATAAAAAGTTATTTTTGCACCGCTAAAAAATATGGATACCTTTCCACCACCTCCGATCGGTGAAAATTCTTCCGATGAATCTGTCATTACTAAACATGTTGGCAGTTTTCCAATCGATGATGAGAGATGATGGTGCTGGGGTGACAGAGGCGGCAATTTGTTTATACATTTTTTTAAATAGTTTATTATTTTTTTACGTTTTTTATTATTTTTTAGGATTTTTTATTATTTTTTATGATTTTATTAATAATTAAGACATTTCAAAAGCTACAAGTGTATATTTTTTCAAACACACATAAATAGTCCTATTGGGGGGATTTAAAAGGAGTTAATTATCAAAATAGGACTAAAAGTCATTCACTTTTCACAAATAGGACAAAAAAATAAATTATGTTTGCATAGGACTAATTATGTGTACCTTGGACAATTATACCCTTATAGCTATTAAAATGTTTTAATTCCTAATAAAATAATAAAAAATAATAAAAATTCCTAAAAAATACTAAAAAATTAAGAAAAACATTTCGATATTAAAAATTTAATTAATTTTTTTTTTCAAAAAATTAAAAAAAATTAAAAAATTAAAAAAAAATTAAAAAAAAAATAAAAACTCAAAAAAAAAAATCGTCGCCGCCTCTGCCGCCTCAGCACCACCACCTCCAGTCACCAGGGAAAAAAATGCCAAGTTCATTACGAATGCCATATTTATGGCAGAAAAAATGAAAATGTTGGCATTCGAAAAGAGAAATATGCCACTTTTTTGGCATTTTCAGAAAAAAATGGCATTTTTCTGGGAAAATGACATTTTTTTCATCGGCCGGAGGTGGTGGTGCTGGGAGGTAGTACAGGCGGTGGGAAAGGCATCCATATTTTTTTAAATTTTTTTTACGGAGTTTTACTATTTTTTATGAATTTTTTTAAAAATAAAATTATTTTTTAAAAAAAAGGTTTTTGAATTTTTTATTTTATAAAATTTTTATAAATTTTTTAATTATATTTCTACGAATTTTTGAATTTTTTCCGAATTTATTATGAATTAAACATTTAATTATGGCTTTTGACTATTTTTAATTCATATTTAATGGAAGGGTAAGAATGGAATGCAAAAATATGTATGTTTCCAATAGGACTCATATGGTCCTATTTTGGAATAAAAACATAGCAAGTCCTATTTTAGGTTTTTGCCATAGTTTTAGTCCTATTTGAACTAATTTCTAATTTAAAAGATGTAGTCCTATTTGTGTTCTTTGACCACTTTTTTGTCCTATTTAGGTATTTCATTCGAATGTTAATTGCGTTTTCATGAATTCTAAATTTACATTTTTAATTATGCAATTAACACAATAAATTTACATTATTGAAAGAAATAACAGTGACTATGGTGTTAAAATAAATTTTTATGTAAAATTTGGGGTATTTAAATTAGATTTGCAAGTTTGGTCTCTTCATCTCACACCCCATGAAAGTTTGGAGTATTTTAATTATTTTCACATTTATCAAAACACCCTCAACGTAGGCTACCCTTCTCTCTCACATTCTACGACTGTACTTCCCATTATACCCCGTCGTATTATGACCACATCATTCCTTCCTCTAAGCATTTACTTCACATTCCCATACTCTTTATCCTTACATTTATTCCATTCATTAATTTTTGTAAATAAAGTTTACTTTTTTCACATTTAAATTGTGCATTATTTTAATTATACGTGTGCACTTCATTAATCATGATGTGCATCATTTCAAATCATTCTCATTTTTTACGATAAAAAGTATTATCATTGAAATCTGACTGTATATATATATATATATATATATATATATATATATATATATATATATATATATATATATATATATATATATATATATATATATATATATATATATATATATATATATATAGGTTGCTATTCAGGAAATTTCAGAGTTGGCTTTTAGGAAGGGGGTGGATTTCGGACATATGATGAGAGAATGCAACTGGGCTGCGCACCACTTGGCCCAATTTCAAGCGGATAAATTAACAATTTTCAAATCGTTGGATCAGCTTCCTAATCCGGTTAAAAGGCCTTTTTGGATGGATTTTTTTGGTATTCCTTCAATTCGTTTGTAATGTTTTTCCTTCTCGAGTTGGTTTGGTCCCCTCGAGATTTGTATAATCGTTTTTGCTAATAATATCTGGTAAATCTCCCCTGGCATTTACCCCACTGATTTTGGTGGTTTGCCTTCCGGGGAAAAAAAAAATAGGGTGTGGTTCCGGTGAGAATCTTTCTTAACGTGAGAAATGAGAACGCTCCAAAACGATGCACTTTATCATTCACGAAATTGCACATTTATAGTTAAAGTAATGCAAAATTCTAATTTACACGTTTACGTGTAAACTTTTGCACACTTGAAATGCACATTTTTCAATTTTTCATATGCACATTTCTGTTTTACTTGATGCACGATGCCGAAATCCAAAGCTCCAGAATCATTCTCATTTCTCACGTTAAGAAGTATTCTCATTTGATCCTTACTCTATATATATAGGGAGCGGATCAGGTGAGAAGTGCCCTTAGGCTGAGAACTGTGAAGTCTAACTTATAAGCTAAAAATACAAACTTTTAAACAATAAATCATAATGATGGATAAGTATACCCGGGGGGTATCTATCCGAGGGGTTACTGCGGGGAGTAACTAGAGAGAAGTCAGAGCATAAGTAGAGAGAGAGTGTATATTGATATTGAGTGTATTCAGCGTGGTTTACAAATGGGGAAAGGGATGCTATTTATAGCAGCAATAAATGGGGATAGGGACGCGTGTCAACAATCTGATGGTCGAGGGGTCACCTCAACTGGGGCGGCACCGGCACTCGCATGTGGCCGCATTAAATGCGGCGGTTGGATGTGACGTTTGTACTTGGTACGTTGATCCAGCGCATGTGGATGAGAGATTCTGTCGAGGAAGGTGCCTTCGGCTGTATATGATTAGCCGAGGGCTCTTCAACCCGGGGGCCTCTGTGTGCCGAGAGCTCTAGGTACCGAGGGCTACTGTTTTTCGCCGTTTTCTCCCAGTACCTTCGTTTGCCTAAAACAGTTGTTCTGCGAGTTTATAAGCCTTCGGCCATGGGGGCCGAAGACACCCAAGTGTACGTTGTGGGCTGCTTGGCACTTGGGGCGCTGTGATTTGGGCCTGCTGTGCTCCCTGAGCTCATTGGGCCTTTGTTATAGTAATAAGAGTATGTGGGTCGGGGGCCCCCGGGGCCATATACTCCATCACATAACTTATAGACCCCCTCGAAAATAATTATGAAAATGCCACCGCATCAAAATAACTCCAGAAACCTGGATTTTTTTTACGCGCTGGCATTTCCGTAATTAAGATGGAGAGCTTTATAATTTTTTTTATTGGTTATAAGTTACTATATTCAGTCTATAAGTTTGCTGCGTTGTAATATTAGATGCAAATCCAAGGGCTAAGATTACTTCTCACTTCTAATTTTAAGGAGAACTTCTCACCTCATATATATATAGATCTTGGATTTGCATCTAATCTTACAACGCAGTAAACTTATAGACTGAATATGGGAACTTATAACCAATAAATCATAACTTATAAAGCCCTCCATCATAATTACAAAAATGCCACCGCGTCCAAAAAATTTCAAGGTTTCCAGGCTTATTTTTGTACGGTGACATTTTCGTAATTATTTTCGACGGTGTGTATACATTATGATTTATTGGTTAAAAGTTCGTGTTTTTAGTCTATTAGTTAAACTTCGCAGTTCTCAGCCTAAGAGCACTTCTCACCTGATCCGCTCCCTATATATATATATATATATATATATATATATATATATATATGTTTTGGTTCAAATAAGAACATGATCTTAGGAGAGAAATGAGAACGAATCTGGACCGTTAGATTTGCTTTAAGTGAAATTCAATGTGCATTAGATGAAACAGTAATGCGCATTATGTAAAATTGAAATGTGCAACACAAAGCGTATGATACAATGTCATTAAGTGAAGCTGAATTGTGCATTAGGTGAAATTGAAATGTGCACTAGGTGAAACTGAAATGTGCAGAATAAAAGGTACGATGTGACGTTATTTTTGTACATTTTATTCCGCACATTTTAGTTTCACCCAATGCACAATTGAGTTTAAATTTTTATTCTGGACATTTCAGTATCATGTCATACACATTTCAGTTTCATCAAATGCACATTTCCGTTCCACATAATACAATCCAACGGTCCAGATTCGTTCTTATTTCTCTCCTGGGAGTCCGTTCTTACCGGAACCGCTCCCTATATATATATATATAATTTGTCCATTAGCTTTTGCACTCTCAATTTTCTCCCCATAATTTTTGGCGAAGAGGTTTTGGTGTGGTCCCCCCTTCTTATTATGTACTTTCTTCTCCTTAATTAATAATATCTCGACAAATGTTCCCCGCCATTTGCCCCACTGATTTTGGTGGTTTGCCTACCGGGACTATATATATATATATATATATATATATATATATATATATATATATATATATATATATACATACATATATATATATATATATATACATATATATATATATATATATATATATATATATATATATATTAATCAGTTTGAAAAGAAGCTAAATACATGGAATCAGAAGAATTTATCACAAGGGGGGAAGCTGATTTTAATCAAACATGTATTAAATTCAATCCCCTTGCATGTTTTAGCTATTGACAGCTTACCCAA